ATTAGGCATAATATTATTTTTGTTTTTATGTGTTCTAAGTGTCCAAGTACTCAGTAAAAATTGTAATTATTATTCCTAATGATACCTTTTTTTAAAAGATTTATTATATATTGCAATTTTTATCACTTTTTCTTTCTCCTATATATTTACAAAGTTAAAATAAAAATTACTCTTAAAAAATTAATACACTTTTAAATTGTTGAAATGAAAATCAACGTGTGACAAAAATGTTTGCATGAATTTCCAAAAAAAAAAAAAAAAGTGAGACAAAAATTTAATAGAAAAACGACAATGTTGTGGGGGCAACAGAGAGCCGTAATACATTTTTTTTTCTTTTATTTTACATTAATTTTATCGATCGAGTTATTAGAGTTATCCGTACTTTCACTTTTCATAATAAGTGATGTTTTAGATCATTTTTAAATTTTGTCTTTTACTTTTCTTATCTCAAAACAATAAATGTTTTTATTTTATTTTATTTTTAAATTAAAAATTTAAAGAAAAAATTTTACTTATTTTATTTAAAAAACAAAGTATATATTTTATATCATAATAAAAAGTTAAAAGGTAAAAATAATGATAAATTTAAAATAAAAAAAATATTTTATCTTAGACGTAAGTGTAGGGCATAGACGATTCCATGCATCATTAACTTTTTTTTTCTAATTCTATATTTGACCAACCCATCAAATATAGAGATTTTTTTTTTTTATGTTTCTAATTTTAACAAGGTAATTTGGTAGCTTTAATATTATTTATTCTTAAAAAAAAGATTATATATCACTCATTCTGTCTCAAAACAAATATAATTTTTTTGACTTTTTCACATATAAAAAAATTGAAGATAATTTATATATTTAACTTATTACCCTTAACTGAAAAATAAAGATAAGTAAAAAGTTTAGATAACAAGGTAGATAATTAAAAAGTAATAACGATAGGATTAAAGGTAAAAAATAAAAAAAATATTTATCCATCTTTAAAAAATAAAAAAAATAATTTAAAACAATTTTTAGTCAACATATAATTATTTTGAGATAAAATGAGATTAATTTGTTAATCCTTGTGCATATTATAAATGTCAAAACAGGTGTTATAAATGCCCTTTTTCTGACAAAAAAAAAAAAATCCAAAGTGAATCCATAAACCCCACAACTGAGAAATTTTTGAAATTTAACTTTTGGTTATCAATCTAAGATCTTAAATATTAGGGGGGAAAAAAAAGTAAACCCTCTTATCCACTAATCTGTTATCCTACTCTTAATTGTTACTTCAACATACCTAAAAAATTGATTATGACCTTAATTATAGATTTAAGATTTTCAACATGAAAAAAATAAAAATAAAAAAAAAGGCTCCACATGCAAGACAAAAGGTACCTTTTCCGTACAACTAACTAAAATTAATTTAGAGAAAGACTTTTCGTGGCTGTACTAAAATACCTTTGGAAAATTTGGGCCTACAACTAGTTGCAGACTTAGCAAAAAATCTAGGGGAGAAAACGAAATAGTGAAAAGGAAATATTTCCTCTATTTAATTTTAATAATTTTAATTGATTTTTAATTTTTAAAATATATTTTAAATAAAATTTTAACATTTAATATAAATAATAATTTAAATACCTTTGGAAAATTTGGGCCTACAACTAGTTGCAGACTTAGCAAAAAATCTAGGGGAGAAAACGAAATAGTGAAAAGGAAATATTTCCTCT